AGGTGAAAAATAATTCCATAGGAAGTACAGTGATCTTAATTAAATATTAGCTGTAATTAGCCTAAAGTGCAAATGTTGGGAATATTAATTAGGGTCTCTCTGGAACGGCTGTCAGTGTTAATAAGTAACTGGGGGAGGTCCCACCAACATCTGTTTGAGAATTCCAGGTACAGGATGAAATCCCCGTGTACCGGGATGCTAACTGCAGGCTCCTTGGCCACTGTGGACTCGGTCCCCAGAGCTTGGTACCCTGTGTTTGCCAGGATGGTCCAAGTTTGCTGTGGCTGGTCCTTGCTTTTCCTGGGATAGCCTCAAAGCATTTGGAAGCTGGGGTTAAGGCTTGAGATGGTGCAGAAGTTTCCCAGGCTACTGCAGCACCACTTGCCAAGGGTCACCCACCTAATCTGGCAAATGGAACTGTGGCATCTTTGAATCGAATACCCTCGCAACTGACTTCCCCACAGGGAGTAACACAATAACAGATAACAAACAGATCTTGGGTCAATGGTGTAGGTGAGAGAGCAGTTGGTGTATTTAAAAATGGGACCCAAACTAAACACCCCACTGGGTGATTCTCTTGCCACATTGAGAGATGACTCCTGGCTTCCCTAGGAACTACCTGTGGCTGTGACCTGGTCTAATTATTGCCCAGTTCTGGGCCGGAACATTTTGACCACAAAGTAAGGCAAGATTGGAGATGCCGTGTATGCAAAGTAGGGACTCCAGGCCTAGGCACTGTTCACGTTGGGAGGTGGATGATCCTTTGTGGTGGGGGCTGCCCTGTGTGCTGTAGGGTGGGTGGCAGAGTCCCTGGCCTCTACTCACTGGATACCATTAGCATATCCTCCACCTGTCACAACAACCAAAAATGTCTCCAGTCATTGCCTAATGTCCCCTGGGGAGCAGTCACACCTGTTTAAGAACTACTGATGTAAAGTGCCCAGCACAGTGCCTGGCACCCACGACCATTGTTTTCTGAGCACGGGTGAGGAGAAGAAGCCTTTCACACAGAGCATAGAATTCTGAGGCCATGATGTTCTTGTCCTCATGAACCTCCTGCCGCCGAGTTCGAAGCCTATGTTTGTGCATGTTGATAGGTCAGAGATCGGGTGGTGAAAAGCAAATTCCAAAAAAGATTCCGACTCACTCTCTTTGCACCATCTTTAGCACTGTCTGTCTCCAAGACGAGCCAGCGCCCCTCCTTGGTTTAGGTAGAAGGTACCCCCTTTCTCTCTCTCCCTGATCCACCGCCAGCTCTGTTGCCTTCTTAAACTATTGATGCAAGGATGGCTTCTTAACTGGTGTCCCCATACCAAAGGATATTCTGCCAAGGCTGTTAGAAAACTTTTTCTGCACAGGACCAGAGAGTGGACAATTCGTTAGGCTTTGTGGGCCGTGCTGTCTCTGCCACAACCGTTCAACCCTGCCCTTGTAGCACAAACGTAGCTATGGACAATCAACAAATGAGCATGGTGGCTGTGTCCCAGTGAAACTTTATTCACAAAAACAAGTGGGCCAGATTTGCCCCATGAGTCATTTGCCGAGTTCTCTCTGACACCTCCCCTCCTATCTCCTGCTGCCAGATTAAGCTCTGTGGAGCCTGGAGTTCATTTTCCAAGCGCACATTCACTTAGCAAACACTCGTAAGTGTCCGCTTTGCAGTGAGAATGCTGCTGGGTCCTGGGGATGGGGCGGGGAATGTGGCGCAGCGTCCTGCCCTCAGGGAGCTCGCAGGCAGGCAAACAGGTGATGGCGGCGCTTGGAGTTATGTGAGCTTTGGCCACCAGCTACGGAGCACAGAGGGTGGGCGGCTGACTAGTCTGAGTGTCCACGAACTCTTGCTGAAGGGGACCTTGCTGAAGGGGGCCTCTTGATCCGGAGCTGTGTAAGCAGGGACCAGCCAAGCAAGGGAGCGGGGGGTGCTTTACAGGCAGAGGGGGGCAGCGAAAGTGAAGACGTGGTGGTGTTGAGAGGATGGAGCTCTTCTTCTCCCTTAACCGACCGTGAGCTTCCTGAGGGCAGGTCCCTTCTCTGCCCCAATACACAGCTCAGATCCCAGCAGGGAGCCCTTGCTCTTTTGCAAGAGCCTGTAGAATGGGTCACTCTTCCTGAAACTGCTCTGCAGTGATGAACAGCCACCTGTTCCTGTATGTGCCTGGTGGAAGCATTTTCTGCCGGAAACCCTTGTGTTGGTGTGACCTTTGTCTCTGCAGTTGTTTATGTGATCAGTCCGTGTTCCCTATGTGGCTACACCTGGAGTTGTCACAGATGTACCTTTCAGTTCAGAGATGGGCCAGGCGGAGAGTCAGGGAGGCAGAAACAGACCTCTGGGCAGAAGCCGTCCCTGGCACAATGAATTTCCCTTTGGACGGTTCTTAAGATCCCAACATTTCTGGGGCTTTTGGTCAGCCATAGGGAAGCGGCATCACTGGGGAAATTCTGTACACAAAGAAATGTTCCTTGAATAGTCCAGAAAAGGAAACGATGCTAGCGAAGTTATAAAACGGCAGAGGGATTTTTTTTAGTCAATCAAGACCCTTTTGGTTGTAAGTAACAGAAAACCTAGCTTAAACAAAATAAGACAAGGCTACCAATTCTCAGTTTTGCAAGATGAATAAGTTTTGGAGATCTAAGTAGAGCATGGGGATGAGAGTTAAAAATACTGTATTGTATACTTAAAATGTGCTAAAAGGATAGATCTTAAATTAAATCTCAGCACACATACACACACACCACACACAAATGGTAACCACACAGAAGTGATGGATATGTTAATTACCTGGAATGTGGTCATTTCACAATGTATACACATATCAAAACATCAAATTATGTACCTTACATATATATAATTTTTATGTTAATGACATTTCAGTAAAGCTGTTAAAAACAGGACATTTACTGATTTGTGTAACTAAAACAAACAGGGGCGTTACTGACTGCAGGTAAAGCAGGATCCAAGATGTCACATGATGTCACCAAGACTCAGTTGATACCTTTCCGTTTCTCAGTTTTTTGGCTTCGTTTTCTGCATTGGCTTCAGCTATAGGCAGGTCCTCTGCAAGGGGCAGTTCTTGGCAGCTCCGGGCTTAGGTTCTTTTTAAAGCTGCCAATCACAGTGGAAAGAAGTCTTTCCCCAAATGCAGCAAAATCCCGGGGTGACAAGTTCTTGGTGGCGCGACTAGGGCATAACTCACTAACTGACGCACTAGGTAGATGGGCGTGACTCCCAGTCCGTGACTATGGCAGTGAAACTTTGTGATTTGACAGGCTGGTGTCACGTGACTGTACCTAGAGGGACCCCGAGGCTGGGTTCAGCCGCCCCTGCCCCACACGGCCCGAGAGTGGGACTTCCCCCCGGAAGGAATCTGGGATGTTGTCCTTGCAGAAACAGGAGTGGAGACTGACCAGCAGGGACATTAAACATCCTCTGTGGCTTCCCCAAAATGGACAGGGTTAAATCTGCACGTCTAGCTCTCCAGCCTGGGCACAGGAGACCCTCCCCAGCCCCGTTGCCGCGGGAAAATGTGACAAAAAGAGAGAGGAACACGCATGCACTTTTGCTTCCAGTGGCGCAGACATTTGGAGAAACTCGTCTGGGGGAGGAGAAAGCCGGACGAGAATGTTTTCTCTTGCAAAACATTTAAACTTATCCTAAGCTTAGTTTTCTTCCAAGTGTCATCTTGAACGATCTAATTAAGGTCCCTTCTAAACAAATGTGCCAGCTCTGTGTGCTGCTCTGAGAACAAACGTTTTTCTCCCCACTTCTGTCTTCATGTTTCTTCGGGGCCCACATTGCCTCAGAGGATGAGGCTCTCGAACGCTGGTGGCAGGTACTGAGGAGATGTGAGCAATTCGGACATTTTCACCCTCGCATCATTACAGGAGGCCAAAGTCACATCTAATTGACCACAGACGATGGGAGAAGCAGCTATGTGGTGTGCTTAATTGCTAAGCTTTATTATTTTTTTGTTGTTGTTCTCTCTTTCTGACTGTGCAATCTCGTCTCTTGAGACCATGGGAAATTCGGACATTGGATCGCAATTTCTTATGCTCTCTGTGTGCGTGTGTGTGTATGTGCATGTATGTGTGTGTGTGCATGCTGTGTGTGTGTGTGTAGGGAAGTAGAGTTGTCAGGCTGGAGGTGGAGAGAGAGATTGATGTTTCCTGAAATGGAAGTATTTGAATTCAGGTTTCTGTTGTGTTTCTTAAAAATTTTTTTTTTTTGAATTGGCTATAATTATCCTACTGCATGTTTTGCCTAGATCTGAAGCGTGAATTGTTATGTAATACTCTGCGCTTGTGAAAAAATAAGACGTGGCATTAGGGACAGGGAGGCATCGACTAATGAGGCTAAGCGTTAAGGCCAATATTTTTCAGAGATGCTTAAAATGGGGATATCGCAGAGGGCCATCTTTGTCCTAATTAGGCCCTAAATGTTCGCTGGCTTCCTCACATTGGCACTGGGAACATCTCGCACACACACGCACACACACACACTGGGGCCGTTGAAAGGACCCTCCCGCATCCATTATGTGAGCCAAGCCACATAAAACTTTGATTAAATTCAAACGCTTAGATAAATTGTCTCTCCTCTCAAGAACACACACGTTCAATTTAATCTCTCTTGGCACTCTAAGTGTCAAATCAAGGTTCTGCTGTCAGTGTGGACAACTCCATGCTCGTAGCTTCCAAAATGGGACTGAAATAAAAAAGGATCTGCCCGAAATATCCAGGACAGTAGGACACATCCCCACAATCTGTGAATATTAGGCTGGGTGACTTGGGGAAAGTGACTTTATCTTTTGGAGCCTCAGTTACAGCATCTGTAAAGTGGGGGTATGTGGCAGTTACTATTTCTTCATGGGATCTGGTGATCGTCAGCTGGGATTGTTGGCTCCCAGAAGGTGTCTGGGGAATGGTCGTCGTGGGGTTGGGGTCAAGGATCTGCTTGCTGCCTACTCACGGTTTTCTCTCCTCTCTCCACTTTGTCGATTTTTCAGGGTAATCAGGAAGCAGCCGCTGCCCCTGACACAATGGCTCAGCCTTACGCTTCGGCTCAGTTTGCTCCCCCGCAGAACGGCATCCCCGCGGAATACACAGCCCCTCATCCCCACCCCGCGCCAGAGTACACAGGCCAGACCACCGTCCCCGAGCACACGTTAAACCTGTACCCTCCCGCCCAGTCCCACTCCGAGCCGAGCCCGGCGGACACGAGCGCGCAGACCGTCTCCGGCACCGCCACAGTAAGTGGGCGCTTTCCCTGGGGGCCAGAAGGTTGTGCGGGGCGCGTGTTCTCCAAGGGGCACGGGTGACCCCAGCCCTGAAAATGACAGCGGGGGTGGGTGCACCTTCATCCACCAAGGGACTCTGGCCTCTGGCCAGCAGATGGGTCCCTAAGACCATCCTTATCATAGCAGCTTCCCAAAGTTGACCTCATCTACGTGTGTTCTTTTCCAGTTGTTTGTTTAAATCGACATACTTGTCATGAACTGCATTTATTTGCAAAGGGAAGCGTTCATCTATTTTCTGTATAGTTTTGCTTTTCCCAGAATGTCATCCCAATGGAATCTTTTGTTTTCTGTAACATCCTTATGGAGTTATAACTGACATAACATAAAATTCACCTATTTTAGGTGTGCAACTCACACTGATTTTTAGTGTATTTGCAGAGTCGTGCAGCCATTGCCAAAGTCTAATTTTGGAACTTTTCCATCACCCTAAAAACAAATATTATGACTGTGGCTATTCCCCATCCCCACCCCAACTTTCTGAGTCCGCCTTCTTTAACTTAGCTAATGCATTTGAGAATTCACCCCTGTCACTGTGTTTGACCCCAGTTTCTTCCTTTTTATTGATGGACCAAGGAGTAGGGAGAAGGTGTGAGCTGCCAAAGGGGCAGCACGAAAGCATGTCGGTGGATAAGGGAACTCTTCGTATCTCAGTGGCAATGGTGATACAACTTTGCACAACAAAAACAGTAAATTTTATTCCACGCAAATGGATTGAAAACAAGCAAACAGCAGAAATTACTTTATCATCACTATAAATAAAAACTAGTGTTATTGGCCCTTCATCAAAGATAACCCTAAACAAAAATAATTATATTAAACAGTCTTCATGTGTGTATCATCTAAAATAATCATGCATATCATAACATCTGTGTGGACCACACATTTGGGAAACCTTGTTCTGCAGAATTCTTTAGAAGCCTGGGCACGCCAAGCCTCTAGTCTAGAGCGTTCTTTAGGTGCAAGGTAATTCTGCTCTTCCCTGTGCGCTCAGGCCTCTTGAAAACCAGTATTTGTGAAGAAGTGCATGAGTTTGAACCATTATCTATTTCCTATCATAGGAAGTAACTGCTGATTAACTTTGCTGCTTGGTACCTCGTTCATTTGAAGGCTAGTTTTGGGGATTTTAAGAAATAGTATTCATTCTGACATTTTTAATCACCATCTCCTTTTTAAATCTATTTTGCTAAAATAACTATCACGTAAAATTTGCCATTTTAAGCATTCTAATGTACACCATTCAGTAGCATTTGGTGCATTCCCCGCCTAGTGCAACCACGACTATTCTCTAGTTTCACAACATTCTCACACCCCAAAAGGAAACTTTGTACCCATTAAGCAGACTCCCCCTCTCCTACCTCCCCTGAGTCTCTGGCAACCACCAGTCTGCTTTATATATGGCCTTTGTGTCTGGCATCTTTGTCTTATCATGATGTGTCAGATTCATTTATGTTGAATATGCCACTGTGGATATACCACATTTTGTGGGTACCACATTCACCTGTGGATGGACATTTGAGTTGTCTCCTGCTTTGGGCTCTTGTGAACAGTTCTGCTATGGCCTTTTTGTCTTTGGATGCTGTACCTTAGGGATGGTTTTATTAAATGGGTTTGCTGGGTTAGCAGGTATTTATTGTTTTTGTGTTGACTATCTGGTGGTAGTGATGGTATTATTGTTTATAGTTTGCTGGTTATATTGTGATAATCAGTGAGAGTAGTGTCTTGGTAGGTTATTCTCAGACTAAAAAAAAAAAAAACTACAATCAGACCTTATTTATTAAGCTAATGACTGTGAAAGATTTATTCATTCATTCATTCATTTACAAATACTTATTAAGCATCTTTAGGGCCAGGACTTATATTAGGTGATATAGTTGAACCAAGCAACATGATCTTTCCCTCTTGTAACTTAGTACCAGAGGCAGAGAGTGAACATGTGCTCATCACCAAGTTTGACAGATGCTCTTAAGGAAAATAGGGGTGTTGTGGGAAGATAGAAAAAGAACAGAGGTGCTCCCTGCAAACAGGTGGTCTGGGAACTTTTCTTTAAGGAGATAATATTTAAGGTGAGAAGACAAAGCATTCCAGGCCGAGGAAATACCAAGGTCAAAGGTCCTACAGTTGAAAAGATCTCAGCTCCTTCCAAACCCTGAGAAGAGCCCAGTGTGTTTAAGGCATGGTGGCGGGGGTTTGGGATTGCTTGTGGCAAAAAAATAAACTAGAAGCAATTAGCAGGGATTTTATATCCTGCAGGTGAGGTGGGTCCCATAAAGGGTTGGGATTCCAAGTTAGCAGAGATGGGAAGCCATTGAGAAGAGTCTAAGGCAGAAGAGATATGAAATGAGATGTAAAAAGAAAGATTTAATGATGCCTAGCTCAAAGGAATCTTAATCCAGTTGGGAAGCTGAGATACTCAACATCCTCATCCTGCAAAAAGAGCACTTCAGAGATCAGCACAATTAAATTTAAATAGCATGTTGCGTGTCCACTGTGCCCCGGGCTCTGCAGAGAGATAAAATGATGTGCCGACAGGTTCTCCTGCCTTGGAGAGATTTGGGTCCACTAGAGAACACAGGGTATGTGTTCTGTTAATTACAATAATGTGCCAAATTCTGGAGCAAAGGTTTTTCACGGCTTTTATGTATTATGATGATGGTAGGAGAAAACGCTTTCTGAGGGGTCGGCCTCAGAATCATTGTTAGAGGAATATACGTTGCAGTCTTCTGACGTGGAACTGAAAACTCAGCAGGACACGTGTTGGCTCTTACACAGCAGGAAGTCCAGGGGGAAGGTTCACTTTAGACACAGCCTGGTTCTCGGCACATATCTGTCAGGGTCCAGTGGGATCCATCTCTGCTTCTTTGTGCACCTCCATTCTCTGCCTGCACGTGCAGGCTCTTGTCATCACAACCGGCAGGTCCAGGAAGGGCGGTTGGGTTAGTCTCATGCAAGCCCTGGGAGTCACTCCCTCTCCCTGCCTTGTGTGGTGGCACCTTCCTTCAGTGGCTGAGGCCCTGGGGCCATGGAGGAGCTTCATACCCAAATACAGGGAGTGAGGATCATTTCACCAGCATCCTGGATAAAAGGTGCCTGCAGAACAACTCATTAAAGGAACCAGGTAGACGAAAATAGTCGGAGCTACAGTAGTGTAGTGAGCCGTCGCATGGAGCGACTTACATTGATATGTTTGTCAGGTGCAGGGGGAGAAGAGAAAGACAAGCACAGAGCACGGGAGACCTCTTAAGGGTGAGGTTGGGAGGAAGAGGAGCTACTGAATAAATAAGACATCAATGGGATATGCAGCTTGGGGGTTCCAGCAGGCGTGTGTGGGGCCGTGGGAGCCCCGAGGGTGTACACTGGGAAGACATTGTCGAAGCTGGTGGTTTGGGCATCACCAAATACTGGGAGAAAGCAGTTTTGCTGGGGTAGTGGTGAGCTTAGGAAGACGAGTTGAGGAATAGATGGGTGTCCACGGTCCATCATAGCAGCAGCCAAGGAGCAAAGAGTTCAGAGAAAGCAGTTTGTGGGGCAGCTGATTTAGGCTCACTGATTTATGCCAATGATACAGTCCCTATGGGGCACAGATGGAACAGGAAACAAGAGATAGGGGCTAATGATTCAGGAAAGAAAGGGACAAAGTGTTTTAGAGAGGATAAGAAGGAATAGGGCCAAGGGTATTGGGATAGAGTAGGTTGTCTAGGGGAAAAAAAAAAACACTAAAATTTTTATAGCCTGATAGACATACACTGAACTGCATATTTGAAATACGCAATTTGATGAGTTTTCACAAACATACGT